AAATTTTGGAGGCTGGCCGCCGGAATGCGGCACGGAACGCGCTGGAACTCCGGTTCCCCGCCCGCGGCTCGCCTGGCCCGCTTGTCGCCGAGGCGACCCTGACTGGAAAGGCCAGGTCCTGGGGTCTCCTCGGGCTGCGGAAGGCGACCTCAGAGGGTCGCTCTGCACAGGAGGGTGACTCGGCTGCGGGCTGTCGCAGCGTACGTGTGACTGCCCGCAGAGGACCGGGAAACTCGGCTCCCTGGGCCAAGCAGAGGGTAACCCGGCGACCTTCGCCTACGGCATCCACCTGCGGGAGGCTGAGGCCAGGCGGACGCTCGTCCTCCCGGGTCCCGCGTCGCCGCAGGGAGAACCCGGCCAGACCTGGGTTTCCGACTAAACCTGCTCGTCACTTAGGAGTCTAGATTCGCTTGGGCAGGTTTTTGTGTGGCTGAGATATTTTGATTTATGTGTAGGAAAAGGAATAACTAATATTTAGATTTAATGACCTGATCCAATCCAGAAAGTTGGTGTCTTTGGGGTTTGTGTTTTATTGTTTGTGGCACTGGGGTTTGAAGCGGGACGCTTTTTTTTTTTTTTAAATAACCACTGAGCTACATCCTCGTCCTTCTTTATTTTTGAAACAGGGTCTTGCTAAATTGCCAAGATTGGCCTGGAACTTGTGATCATCCTGTCATAGCTAGACAGGTGTGAACTACCACCCTAGGTTTAATCAAGAAAGTTTCTAAGGTGGAAGGATCATGTTTTCAATTAGCTTGCATCACCTGCTGTTTTTGCCTTGGCTTTATATTGCCCTTTAATTCAGGAGTATATAGTCTGTTATTGACCAAAAATATTTCAGGGTGGTCATATACTCCTGCACTGTGTATTTTCTTAGTGGGGCAGTTGTTGAGGGAAGATGTACCTCGTCCAGGACATTTATTCATTTATAAAGTGTTCCTATTGTTTGAAAAGCAGTACAATAGAAGAATCTTTAACTTTTCTCATACACTGTTTTATTTAATGACATGAGAAGCTAGTTTTGAAAAAAAATCATATTCTATTTGCAAATATCAAGGTAATGAACATTTTTAAAATGCAGATACATTACAGAAGGATTCTCTGAAAAGAAGGAAATTCTTAATTTAGTTGGTGCATGCTTTTTGATGTTTTATTCTTTTAACATTTAATTATTTTCCATAAGATCCCTCCCTAACTAAAAGGGACATTGGACATTTAAAAGTAGAAACAGTTTTGTGGCATTTTCTGAGAATCTGGGGCTTACTTTCCAGATATCCAGTCTGGAAATATCACATTGGATATTTGAGATTTAAGCTGCGTTGTAAATATTTTTTAAGTACAAAATGGAATTTTTGAAGAGAGATGACAAAGTATATGAAGTATAACATAAAAAGATTGTACCAAATCAGACATAACTTTACTGTGTTTATATGTGAATACATGACCAGTGTAAGTCCATATCATGTACAACTACAAGAATGGGAAGTTTACATCCCCCCTGTATGTATAATATGTTAAAATATATTCTATAGTCAAGTATATCTAAATAGAACAAAAGGTTTTTTGAGAATTTTTTTGTAAAAAAAAAAAACTTTTACATCATGTAATGTTTATTGACTACATCTATTTCCTTTGTTATTACTGGCTCAGGTAAAAGTTTTGAGAAAGAATAGGTACTTAACTTACTTGATTGTTCTCAAAACCTTGGCAGTATTTTTTATTTAATGGTTTTATAACATTCTGGAATTTTGTTTTTGTTTTTTAAGAAAATTGAAGGGAAGAGTTTGAAGACTTTCTGCTTGATATTTCCAAGCCTAGTTACTTTAGGTATTTTTTTAAACTTTAATAAATAGTCTACTTTTTACTTCAAGAGTGTCTACTAATGGTAAGAATTTGACTTTCTTTGTGACATTTTATGTGTGAAGATTTCAAAGAACCTAACCTTAAAAAAAATGACAGTAGAAAACAAATCTTATTTAAATATACTATTCTAACAAAAATTAAACTATTGGAAATCAACCTAAGAAAAATTTTTAATGTTCATTCAAGTGCACAGAATTTTTCAATAGTACAATGATGAAAAATTAGAAGTATCTGGAAGTATGTCCAAGTAATGGAGTTAGGAACAAGACAGATATAAGTAGCTGAAAAATGGCAAACTGGTGTTTTCTCCAAGAGATGAATTTTAGGATTGAATGCCAACCATGCCAGCCATCCACACAGATTTCTATATTTGATATGTACATTTTTACTTGGTCAAAGAATGTATTGAATCAAGGAATTATTTGCAAGAGGTGTTAAAGATATCGTCAGACCTATTGATTTCTGCTATGTCCTGATTTTCCTGTTTTTCACTGAATCTCAGAACAGTAACATTCATTCCCCCCTCCGTCTGATAATTTTTAACATTTTGAGAGAGAGTGAGGGGTGTGTGTGTGTGTGTGTGTGTGTTTCTGCTCCTATGTCTCAAAGGTGTCGAAAACTTGGAATGATCATAATAGAATTTGTGATTGTTCTTCTCCAAATCTGTTGTTCTTGACAGTGTTTCTGTCTCATTGGATAGCATCATTATCTATTCTCTTATGTAAACTGGAAACCTAGACATTATGCTTTTCACTTAACCTATTCCCTCTGTATAGTCCAGCACTGTCAATGAAAATATCAGCCACAGACATAATTGTAAATGTTCCAGAAGTTACATTAGAAAGGAAGCTTATCAGTTCATACTGTAATCAAAATGATTTTCAACAAAATTTCTGCCTCTTTGATGCCATCACTGTTGACACTTCCTTGGGTAAGCCTTCTTAACCCTCTGGGTCAGTTCCTGCTATGGTCTATTCTTGTAGCACCATGTGCTCCCTTTGTTTAGCACCTAGTTTACTTTTATTTGTATGTATATAGCAGTCTTTCCTTTAACCATCATATCTTTAGCAACTAATAGTGCAAAGCTTACTCAACAAACATTTGTTGAATCTACTAATAAACTTTTAAACTATTTGCCCTCCCTGAAAATTCAGTGGTTCCCAACATAACAGTGGCTTGTTCGGCCCTTGAAAACCATTTATCTGGAATATTACTTCTCTGTTGTGTATGATACACCAGCAGTCAGTGTCCTCTGCATAATTTAGCACTTGTTAATGAATTCCCATTATCTACTGAATAAATTTCAAATTTGTATTCTAGAATGTGAGGCCCTACTTAATCTGGCCTCAATACTATATTACCAAATTGTCCTGTGAAACTGCAGGTTGTGTTCTTCCTATCAAATAACCATTACCCATAGGAGCAACATTCAATAAAAACCTTTAGTATGTATCAGAGAGTGATCTATGCCATTGTTGTCTGGTAGAACTTCCTGTTCTATATATATATAGAAATCTTGTTCTTTGTATATCCACAAGCTACATGTAGTCATTAAGCACCTGAAATGTGGTTGGATATGAAGAATTGAATTTTTTTCTTTTAATTTAAATTTTACTGGGCACCTGTGGCTAGTGACTTCCATATTGGATAGCACAGAACAGGGCGGTGGGGTATACCTTATCTAAACCTCATGAAATTCACATTCTTATGTGAATACATGTCCAGTGAATAAATTGTATTAGAAGATGATATACGATGAAGAAAAATTAAATTGGAAAAAATGGTATTAGGTGTACTTGGGAGGAGCAGGAATATTGTTTATGTAGAATTATCAGGGACAGTGTTTCTGATAACCTGTCTTTCGAACAGAGATCTAAAAGAATTGAGCGTGCAGGGCCATATTGGTGTATTTAGAAGTGTTCTGAAAGTGAGAACTGTATGTATAGCAGAAGTATGCTTTGTAGTCTAGAAATAGCATAGAGATCCATGTACTTGTCTTGAATTTATAGGGTAGAGCAACAAAGACCCCAGACCATGAAGAGAGTACATTGGTTTTTGGGAAGACTTGAGCTTACTTTGCAAGTCAGCAAAACTGGAGGGTTTTCTGCAGGAGAGGCTCATGATCTTACTCTTTAAAAGAGTATTGCTCTGGGGCTGGGGATGTGGCTCAAGCGGTAGCGCTCGCCTGACATGCATGCGGCCCGGGTTCAATCCTCAGCACTACATACAAACAAACATGTGTGTCCGCCGAAAACTTAAAAATAAATATTAAAAAATTCTC